AAGCTTCTTTACGTTTTCGTTGATTACGAAAATACAAATGTAAAAAATAATATTTTTCTGTTGAATCGAAAGGTTGTCGTTCGATTCTTTCGTAACTATCTGGTTCAAACTCAAGAATATAATATATAAAATTGAATTCAGAATAAAGTTTAATATCAAAAAAAACAGAATCGACAGAAATATTGATTGTGAATTTTGTTCCATCCTTCCTAATAGTCAATAAAGATAACATATATTTTTTATCGGGGTGGGATGTAGAATCGATAGCATCATATACATAAAATCGATTTGATTCGATCGGTTCTATTAATTTCGAACGGCAATATAATGCGTTTGATGAAGAATTCATTTTTACATCTGAAAAAAACTAACTAGTTTTAAAAAAAACTAGATAGTAAATAAAAAGTTTATTCAAAATTACGATTGGATAAATACTCTAAATTAAGAAAGTAAATATCATAACAACTCTTGCATATCTTATGACAATGATATGCTGATTTAGAAGAACATCCTGAAACTTTACAGTTGTAAAATTCATCTTTAAAAATCATAAACCACTTATGAAGAATTGTTTTTTCTAAACATCGGTCACATTTTTTTTTAAACAGTTCATATTCTTCAGAGGTTTGCAACATTGTTTTAATTTGTTTACCAATTTCTATAATCATCTCTCCATCCTCAATTTTAAAATAAAATTCAGATTTTTTGATAGGAGTATAATCTTTGTAAGTGCATGTAACAGGTGATAAAATATATTTGGTTCTGTGAGTCTCGAACAATGAAAAATAACAATTGTACCATTTTTTGCAAACTAATTTGATCGATAGAGTAATAGATAATTCAAATAAAGTTATTTTTTTATCAAAAATACTATACAGTATCAAAATTAGAAGTTCGTCTGGTAGATTTTTGATATTAATCAACTTCATTTCAGATTATATCAATAAAAATCTAATCGGTTAAATAACTGATTAGACTTAAACTTTAATAAAAAAAACCAAATCATCAAAACTTAAAGAATAAATTTCATAAATTTTATAACATTTCTTGCAAATCTCGTGATTATGATGACTTCGATTTCTTCTTTTACATTTTGACACTTTACAATCAAGTTTTTCTTTAAACCAAAAGCTATACTTAAAAAGAATTTGTTTTTCTAAACATCGTTCACATTCTTTTTTAGAAAGCTCATATTCTTCATAAGTTTGTAGTCTTGTTTGTATTGAAGTATTAATTTCTATAACTAACACTCCATCAATTTTAAAATAATATTCTGATTTTTTGATAGGAGTATAATCTTCAATTGTACGTGTATTAGGTGTTAAAATATATGTGGTTCTGTGAGTCTTGAATAACGAATGATAACAATCATACCATTGTTTACAAACTAATTTGATAGATAGAGTAGTTGGTAAATCAGATAAGGTTATTTTTGTTTGAAAAATATGGTACAATATTAAAATTAGAATTTTGTTTGATAAATCATTGATATTCTGATAATATAATAGTTCGTTTGATGAAAAATTCATTTTTACATAGTTAAAAATCTAACCGGTTATCACTAGTTGAGTAATTTAATAATAAATAATATAAAAATAAATAAAAAATAAAATTGCTATAAAAGAGTATTAAAGAAATTCTCGTAGATCTTAACACCGAGACATTGTGCGCAATCATCACCACAGAGATTAACAATATTTTCAAATTTTAAATTCTCGGAATATACCAAATCAATATCTTCAAGGTAATAAGCATTAAGCGTTTCCAAATACTCTCTATCGACCAATTCGCCTAAACAAGCTCTCTTTTGCTGCCGTTCAATAGACATTTTGATTGGAACAGTCACAAAAACAACCTTATAAAAGTTAAATGGTTCGATCACATCAACTTTTCTGTCGATATATTCTTTCTCGCTCGGATCTTGGAAAAATTTATTGAACATCTTCATATCCTTCTGAGTATGATCGAGAATAATATAATCAACCTTCCATAGAAACCATAAAAAACTAAAATTATTCTTTTTAATTTTGTAAATTTGTTGTTTAAAGTGATGTAACAAAACATATTGGAAAAAAAGAAAATTCTTTGGTTTGTCTTTATTGAATATATGAAATTCTTCGATAACTTGCAATGAAATTTCTTTGTAACGTTTACGGTAAATCCTTTTCTTTTAAGAAAAGATTCGAATAATTTAGCGCAAGTAGTCTTGCCAACACCAATAGTTCCAGTAAAAACAATTATCTTTGTTTTCTTTGTGGTCTTAATCAAAACCAAAAAGAAAAAGATAAATGAAAGTAATAAACATAAAAAAATAGTTTGATGCATTTACGATAATAAATTTATTAGAAGGAAATACTCTGAGAAAAATCTGTTTGGTATTAAACTGAACAGAAAGATAACTAATTTAAAGAAAATCGACTCCAATCAACATATACATATGAAAAAATCTGTCGGTATTAAACTTAATAAGGAGTTATAAGTCTATTTACATTTCTATTTTTCTAATAACTATCTTACCGATTGTTACATTCTCACCTATCAAATTGATTATATCAAAATAATTAGCTTTATAATCGATTAATTCTATATGATCATCCTCATCTAAATCGTAAAAATCTTTAATAATTTTTACAAACTGATTTTTGTCACAAATCTCAATATTCTTTTTGGATGTAAATGCCCATCTTTTCGCTTTAGGAGTTACAATTTTTTCTCCCATTTTTTCACTATTATAAACAATAATACCAAGAGAATCTGAAGGAAATCTTGAAATAGCAGACTCGAAAATTCTCACAATTTGAACATTTATAGGAGTCTTCCAATTTTTACATTGAATAAGAATAAGTTTTTCTTTATATGTTATGATAATGTCAATATCATTATCACCTTGAGTTACTTTAATTTCATTAGCTAATAAACTACTAGCTTCTGCTATTTTTCGAATAACTGATTCAAAATCATGCCCAGAATTATAGCTTTGAAGACCAATTTTTGACTTTGATATCTAAATAGAAAAAAATATTAATACAAGATCCCTATTTACAAATATTTGCAGCCCATCTGTCTCGGAGATATAACTCTAATCTACGAATCAGTTTCTCAAAAACAATAGAACATATTCTCAGTATATATGTACTTTCAGAATATATCCCTGTTTTCTATTGCAGCATCTCTTCAGAATCACAAATATTAAATAAAATAGCATAGCCAACTTATTTTTTTTTCTTATCGGTCATTTCAGAATTACGTAATTAAAAGTCTAACCGGTCATAGACTAGTTAGATTGATTTATTTATAACTCATAAATATATTGATAAAAAAATAAAATAAAACTAAGTGGTTTAATTTTCTAAAGTCCCTTCTTCTTCGATATTGTCGGGCTCAGGAACAATATCAGGTGAAGGAGAAGATGCTGCAGATTCTTCGACCCTACGTCTTTTAGTATAATGACGTAACTTGAATTTGTTTAAAATCGATTTGATAATAATATTTTCTTTAAGACGTAAAGAATCTGTGACTTTCAAATTCTTGAACTGAGTAAAGGTGTATTTTTCCCACGGGCTATTGTTATCAGATTCCGTTTGTATAGGAATCTTATCGGTAATACCGCAGTAAATTGCCGTTTTAAATAAACGTTCACCCATATTAGGAAATACCCGGATTCCTTAATCAAACGTAATAAAATCACATTCTTCTAAATCTATATTAGTCTTTTCGAGAACTTCACGTTTAACACAAGCATTAAACAATTCTTCAGGATTAAGCGAACCACCTGCCACCTGATAATAACCGAAAAAATCTTTGTTTGGGTTGTTTCTTAGACTTATCCAAATTTCCTTCTTGGGAGTAACAAGAATACATAATGAAAAATAAAGACGTTGAGACTCAAATTTATCGATAGT